GACACCTCGTGATCACATACGTTGGTGTGCTGCTTCCATGTGGGCTTGGTTGCTTCTCTTATTTCATTCTATTCCAAACTTATTTCTTATTCCTCTCGATCATCCATGGGTATTCTTGGCTCTTCCCTATATGCCTCACTACCAAAGATTATAGTCTGCTTCAACTCCTGCCCATATCAAATTATATTTCTTCTTACAAGCTACCTTTGCAAGAGGCATTATCTTCATTCTCTGAACTCCTAAAGTCCTTGCCATGTAATTTTCATACTCAAATGACAACAGCCACAATTTATTGTGTTGCCTACATGCCAATGAATGGTTGAAGACTTTGCATAGATTAATTTATTTAATTCTCTCAATTCTATGAAGCAGGCCTTATTATCCCTATTTTACACAGGAGGAAATCAAGATTTAGAGAAGCTTAAGAGATTTGCACAAAGTGCTCAACTGTAAAGGGGAAGACTTCTGGATCGGAGGAGCTTACACTATTAACCCATAACACATACTGCCCTTTAGTTTAATATTGATAGCACAATAGATGCATTTAATTTCCTCACTTACACGCTACTTAACAGTAAAGACTCTGTTATTTCCGTTGTATATCCTTTGTAAATGCCAGGATTTTAAAACACGCTAAATATTGGTTGACTGGATGAATCAATATCAAGAGTGAAGTTATTGTAGTGAAAAAAAAAACCTGGACATAATTTGTATCTTGAAATGTCTTCTCCAATCATTCAGTAAGGCATACTGAAAGCAACAACAAAGCCACCATACAAGAAGTAAGATGGCATTTACAGGTAAGCTTGAGTTACTTCATATGATTATCGTTGCCATGTGCCACCAAGGCGCCTCCTAATCGAAGCGTCAGGACACTAGGAGGAAACATCGGCATCCTCACAGTGCCCTTGCTCAGCCTTCACCTGTTGTATCAGTTCCCATGGCAATCTGGCTTATGGGTGATCACCCTCCTTTGCCGAGAACTCACTTTCCCGAGAATGATGTCCTTCTTCTCAGGGACTGGCCTCTTCTGTTAATATGTCCAAAGTACTTGAGATGAGTTCTTGACATACTTTCTTTTAAGGAACATCCTGTCTATACTTTTTCCAAGACCGATGTGTTCATCCTTCTGGTAGTCTGTGATGTGTTCAGTATTCTTTGCCAAAACCATAATTGAAAGGCATTGATTCTTCTTCCGGTTTTCTTACGAGCTGTCCAGCCTTCTTAAGTATATAAGGTAATTGATAACATCACAGCTTGGACCAGGGCACTTTAGTTCTGAAAGGGAAATCTTTGTTTTTTAAAAACATTTAACAGTGCCTTTTGCAGCAGCAGTTTGGCTCAATGCAATAGGAAGGCAAGAAAAAATATATTGTTCCAGTGCACATATGCATAGGTTCATTCCAAACAAAACATGCCCCAGCATGCCTCAGTGAATGACTGCAGAAACGTTCTCTCAAGAATCCACTTAGCTTTGTCTCAGAAGGGCTTTCTGAAAAAGGATGCTACCGTGTGCCATGGGACAAAACCAATTTGAGGTCGGGGCAAATACAAAACTTTTTGAAAACCTCACTGGATATCTTCCCAAATCACTGAGGTTTTGCAACAATTTGAGGTAACACCACCCCATAGAAAACAATACTTTTGAATTAAAGAAAGCTTTTCAGGAAGGTGGGGAAGACCCCGAAAGATGAACCAAAAGAGAAGAGACTATCAACTTCAACAAATGGAGAAAGTGAACCGAAAGTCCCTCTACTTCCAGTTGCCATGGATGGGATAGCTACTCAAAGCGGGATTTCACGTGGATCAGCAATTTCCATTTTAAGCACACATAATGGCCTTGGTCAACTCTTGGCTTGATGAATGCCAAAGGCCTTGCTCAAAGATAAACTAGTTCAAAGAGCTCATCTTTTTTTCAGTGGTCCAAGCCACATGGAAGCTACTAAGATGATTTTAAGGAAGGAGTCATTATCAGGGAGGAGACTTGGATTTACAAATACACTTGAGAAAGCAATGTCTGATCACGACAGGGGTTTCCAGTTATATTCAAAGCAGAGAGGTCATCTGAAGGCCATGGTGAATGTTCTACTGAGACTGCAAAGGGGTAAGAAGTTCTCTAAGGATGATCTTGAAGTTTTATGGCAATTGAAAACTGCATTGGTGATTTTGAAATAGGCCTGGAAAGTAGCACTGAGGAGTCCTTTCTGTCATGACAATGCACCTGCTGATCCGTTGAGGACCCGAAGGGATGTTCTATGAGAATTTTGCTTGGCGATCTGCCTCCGTCTACTTAACAACCTCGGTCTTTCCCCTTCAGCTTCATGTTTGTCCCCAAATCTCAAATGGCTTTTAAAAGGAACACACTTTGAGTCCCTTGAGGATGTCACAAGTACCCCTTGGATGTAGAGTGAATCAGAGAGTGCAGGCGTCTTCGGAGAGGCTACGAGGGAGGGAAGCTCTGCCCCCAGCGTGGAGAGACCTGCATGGAGGACATCGGTCTCCTGCTGCAGGTTCCAATTCTAGCATTTCTGTGTAATACAGTTTCCTGTGATTCTGGAACAATACTTTTGATTCAATCCTCATGAATGGTGAAATTTCTAGACGACTGCTGCAAATTTTGGTTTTGGGTACATGTAAAATGAACTCTTTAACAACTTTAAACTTTTTTCAATTTATATTGATTTTGCCTATTGGTCCAGTGGTGAAGATGTTTGTTTTCTTTATGATGAGTTGTAATTCATACTGGAGGTTTTGTTTTTTGATCTTCATCAGTAAATGTTTCAAGTTCTCTTTATGTTCAGTAAGCAAGGCTGCGTTATCTGCATATCACAGATTGTTAATCAATCTTGGTAGTGAATTCTTTTTCCTAGAATACTGTTACTTGAATTATGTTTTTGATATGTGGATTGAATAGCATTGCAATAGGATAAACCTTGACGCATCCCTTGTACTCTTCAAATGACTACCTCTTGGTCTAAGGATGAACACAAAGAGATGTTCTGAAGTTTCCATTACTGCAACATTATCCACAATTTTTATGAACCATACAATCTAATGCTTGTGTATAGTTAACAAAATGCAAGTAAGCTTCTTTTAGTTATTTCTGCTTTCACCCAACATCCATCTGGCGTCAGCATTGATAGCACTTTTTCCTTTCCTCCCTTGATTCTGGCTTGAATTTCTGGCAGTTGCTTGCTAGTGTACTGCTGAACCTTTCTCTGAATTATCGTTAGCAAAATTTTACTTGCAGATGGCAAAAACTATATTGCTTGACAATTTCCACATTCCATTTGATCACCTTTCTGTGGAATGGGCATCCATATGTGTCTCTTCCTGTCAGTTGGTTAGGTTAGCTATTTCCAAATTTCTTAGCAGAGGCAAGTGACCACTTCCAGCATTGCATCCATTCATATAACTATGTGGGATGTCTTCTTCATAGTCCCTGAAGTTCAATGTGTGGATAATACATAAAAAGACAAGATATTTGTTCACTAGATTTTGAACACTCATAGATATGTGATTTGTTTCAGGTTATGAAAACATTTTTGTTTAAGCTCTTTGTGTGCTACATGTGACAATTACCTCCTCAATCTGTGCTTTGTTCTATTTTGTCTGCAGGATGGTGTAGGGGTAGACGAGAAGCTGTCTTTAAGGAGAGTAGCGGTGGTGGAAGATTTCTTTGACATTATCTATTCAATGCACGTGGAAACAGGACCAAATGGAGAACAAATCAGAAAACATGCTGGACAAAAGAGAACTTACAAAGCAGTAAGTGAAAACATCTCACATTCTCAAATTTGGTATAATGTATGCTTAACATAGTTTAAGAAAGTGTATCATCTGTCGTCTGTCTTGGACAGTAATTAGACCATATCAACATTTGAACTATAATTATTACTAACTGTTGTGAACTAAAGTTCACTGAGTGTATTGTGGACAATTTAAATCTGCTGCAAGCATTTTCTTATTGTTTTCTCTAAATATATATCATATAATTGGTAGTTATATATACATACATATTCATATGTACAATTGGTAGTTCCTGTCTAATACCCACAGATAGGAAGGTATATTTGTTACATATTGAAGGTAGAATAATGTATGAATTGTAGTCTGGAATGCATAAGCTCTGGTACTACCACTACCATCTTAATATTCCTTTTCCTTCAAATTATAGTGACAGGTTTGAGTATTTGGCATTTAATGTTTATGATCATATAGATAAGGACACTTTATGTGCTTTTTATATGTGACCTTATACTAAAGGTATTTGTTCTGAAAAATGTGCATTTTCTTAAGTTTTCAGAATGCACTATTAAAAGTTGTGTGTTACTTTTATAGATCTAATGGGCTAAAATGTTTTAAAATGAAAATATATAATGCTTTTCTCATAAATTATATGGAGCAGATTTTATGAGCTGTTAGTAATATATATATCTGTGTGTAATCAGAATGGAGTTCTATATTATTTACAAAATTTTAAATTATATTTACAGTTTGATCTAGACAGTTCTACTATTTCTATTTAATTAAATACCTATGAAATCATCTTAGATGATTTATCTATGAAAGATTTTATCTATGAAAGATCTATCATCCTTTCTAGGAAAATGGAACAATAAATTAAGATGTTCTGATATAAGCAAAGGTCCATCCGAAGTACTTACAAGTCCAGAGTAATAGCCTTTTTGAGAATTCTTACTGAACTTAGCTTTTGGCTACCTTTATATTAATTGTTTTTAGCTATATTGATACACAATATCAGTCTGGATCCATTTTTTTTTCAGATACAGAAAAATGTGTGAAATGCTCAAAGTTTCAAATACAGGTACATATGTTTGAAAATTAGCTACTGAGCATAAGAAATAGCTTCTTTTCCATAACTATTTTTTGCTATACTGCTAGGGTCATATTGAATCTTTATAGCTGCATAATAACCCTTAATACATGTATTTCTCTCTCTTCTCTATGGTTTTGTTTCTTGGCTGTTTCCAAATTGCATGGTTTGTGGGCAGGCACTATTGTAAGTTTCCTTACATAATTCTGCCACATAAACTTTCTTTTGACTTATACATCTTGGGAGACATTTGTTCCATTACTAATGATAATGACCTAGCTTCTTGAGATATTTGTATATAGACTAATATTACTGAACATATTCATTTGCCTGTACCCTTAGCTAGGGTTTTATATCTGGACCATAATAATAAAAACAACTGTATATTGACCTACTAATATCACTAACTGTGTATGCTGATGATAATTCACTTTTATGAAATGGCTTCCTGAACTTGGTAGGAGTTTTTAAGGTAGGATTATAGTATAAGTTTAATTATATGTAAATGAACAATTGTTTGCAGATGAAACATTGAATACACAGTTTCAATTGTTTGTAATGAAAATCACTGTCCAACAACTGGCTTCACTATCAGTAGCCATAAGAGAGCCAAGCCTGACTAGGTACCTAAAACAATTTAAAATAATTTAGTCTTAGAAATCTCTTGTCTTAACTTCAAACCCAACCAAATTCACTGTCATCGAGCCAATTTTGACTCATAGCTAGTCCATAGGACAAAGACTCTAATTCAGAAGTAGAAAGTCTCATTTCTCCAGTGAAGTAGCTGGTAGTTTTGAACTGCTGACCTTGCAGTTAGCAGCCCAACACATAACCCAGTGTGCCATGCCACCAGGACGTCAACAACAATGGGCATCAGCATAGGAACTATTTTGTGGATGGTGTAATGCCCGGCAGTGCTGTGTTCCGTTGTGCAGAGTTGTTATGGAGCAGAATTGACAACAGTCTGAACAATCTTAGAAAAGCACCTATTAGCAAGGTGGCATTACAATGGGAACATGAGACCATGACATAGACCCAACTTCTCCTCTGTTTTCTTAACTGAAAGGTAGATAATGTCATCCATTGCTATTACACATGCTAACAATTTCCCATAGATTGGTGAAAAGGTTTCCAACGTACCGTATCATTTTTCATTAACACTGTGGGTTTCGACAGAATGCAGTTGGGCAGAGGTATATCAATCTAGAATATACACGCAATAGCAGAAACATTATCCTTTCCCTCTTGAGAGCCTTCCCCTTCCCCAAGTTTGTTTTTTTATTTCTACATATAAAACGTTCTCAGCTTTTCCCAACATCAAAAAGGATCCCTGCCCCCACCTTGCTTATCTTTTAGCCCTTTGGTATCTTTCCGTTGAATCCTGATTAGGAAACTTCCATTTTAAGGAGTAATCATTCATTGTAGAACAAAAGGACTGCTGCAATGTCATCAAAACTGTGCACATGAATCTACGATGAATTTAAGTGTAATGTTGAAAATTGATATAAATGTTCGGTTAATGGGGCATAAAACTGAATGCAGTTCTAAAGGGAATGGCTTCGTGCTATTAGGGGTCCTCGACTGTGGGTCAGAATTTAACTCTCTATACTCATCCTCAAATTGTATAGTCACTGATAGAATTAGGTAGATACCTATTGCAATAATAATGGTTCGCATTAAATTGAAAGGTTTTGGTTCCTACTTCTACCACATGAGCTTGTAGCACATGCATGACTATGTTTACTGACCTTTTTTCTCCCTCATTTCTCCATAACCACGACACTGCTCTTACACGCCTACTCATCAAAGTCTGTCATACTGTCTGAACAACACTGCCCAGAGCGTTAGTGCTCATTTTGTTTACTTTGCCTTTTATTTTTTCTTGCAAATCTTTCTGGTTTTCACTCTGCAGGAAAGAGTGGTTCTTTAACCCTGGATTAACTTCTGAATGCTCTTTGGTTTTACCTATCTGCGGTATATCATTCCTTGAAATATCTAGGTATTGTATCACTTACATTTCATTACAATCCGCTTTTCCTACAGATACAATTGGAGGACATGCATTGAATTACTCATGAGATGTTTGAAAATCCACATAAAATGACACACTGTCGGGATATGTAAAGGCTATCAGGATTACCTTTCCCATTCTAATTGTGTTCTTCCGGGTCTTTCCCTTTTCCTCCTTTGTCTCCGTTTGCACGGGAACTGCCAGGGGTGTACTGAAGGGGTCTCTCGTACGTGGGGCTCTGCTCAGCTCCCAGTGATCTCTATTTGCAGAGGAGAACAGAGGTGTGGCACATGCGAGTAGCGTTTATATTTAGACTGACAATGTATCCTTACACCGGAGACTAAATGCAGTTATTCTTAGTAATTTGAAAAAGTCACTTCTAAACTAATGCTGTAACATTAAACAAGAAAAAAGCCAACCAAACTGGGATGTTGTCTACTCTTCCCCTCTTTAACTCTTTCCAGTTTGGCCGGATTCCGCGTTGAGGGAGATAGACTGTCCTATGGCAGTCCCTTATCACCTATCTTTTATCGTAAGTTCAGTACAGGTTCTCTTTCAGAAATGAATCTTAAGTCAAGCTTATATTCCAGGATAGAGTTTCAAAGTTCTTACTCGCTTGTAAGTAAAATAGAAGGCGATTCAGAAATTAAGGGAGAAGGGTAAGTCTTGGTGTTCTCAATCGAGTGAACAAGGTGTACATGTGTGCACATCCACCCAGCACAGCACTGCCCACATGTAACTTGTAGTGCGATATCATAAAGTTACTTATGTTTTTCACAAGCATAACTGCCCAGGAAGTACATTCCCTTCGTGGTGAGTGTACGTTATAGTTGAAAGAAAACAGGTTTGGAGCCAGAGAGACTAGGGAAGTTTCTCCTTTCAAATCTACATTTTTGACGTGGGAATTTGGGACAAATGCTCTGCTATTTTTGTCTCCTCCTCTTTAGATGGACATAATGGTCTATGCTGTGTGGGGGAAGAAATGAGTTCATATGCAAAAAGTACTTGATATATTGTAAAATTTATTGCTATTTATCCTTCCTTGTCCAGGTTTATTTTTGCACGTTCTCTGTCCATGTTCCAGGTGGAAGGACTCATAGGACAAGTGCAGAGCGCTATCATTTCCTTAATTGAAATTATGGATATTATGTTCGCAGCCTGCCTTTAGGTCTCTGGTGGGAAACAGGAATACAATAGGTAGTACTTGTAGTTAAAATACGACTACTGACAACTTCTGTGAACCTTGTATAAAGGGTACTGCCCTGGGAAGCCCTGTTAGTTTGGTTTTTCTTTTTTTTGCTTGGTTGAAAGAACACAAGAAAAGCTCAGAATTCCTGTGACTATGCATTTTGTCAGAAGTTCATGAAAACTTCACTTATTTAGTTTTCTATTTTCAAAGTTTAAATATGTTTGTCGAATGAATTGTGATTTTTAAAGAATGAGCTTTCAAAATAAACGGAAGACGAGAATCCTCCTTCATCCACGGTGATTCTTCCCAAGACCCCCAGGGGGCGCCTGAAACCATCAACTCCCTGCCATCGAGTTCATTCTCTTCAGAGCAAGCCCCTAGGACAGGGTAGAACTGTCCCATTCGGTGGGTATCCCTGTGTTTCCAAGACTGTAACTCTTTATAGGAGTCTGAAGACTTTTCCCTTTCCCACTGAGTAGCTGGTGGTTTTGAACTGCTGACCTCTGCGTTAGCAGCTCAATGCATAATCCATTACACTACCAGGGCTACTTTACTTGAAAACACGGAGGGGACCAAGCCCTATATATAGTATGTGCTTTCCTCCACCTGTTCATGGCAGGAACCCCGGTTCCTTGGAAGGCCACAGTCCCCTGACTGACGGTTCTGATCTTTAAATCTGATAGAACAAAAGATCTTCCTAGTCATTGTTCTGAGTAGGGAAATAGGCATTC